ACTCCCCATCGTCCAAGTAATTTCACATATTATGCATAATATGAACTAATTAAAATATTACCGTTTATTTTTGATATCGTTGTTTTAATAGTCATTAACGTTTTTATTTGTCTTATTAAGTATTATTTAAATTGTATTTTAGTCATGATATAATAATTTAATATTAATTATATAAGAATAAAAATCAAGTTATACTAATAAATTTAATTTATAGGTATACTTACAATAACTTTAATAATAATGTGTTATATTTTATTAGACATAAATGTGTCATCTACACTGTGCGTAGGCTGGCTAACATAACACAATAATAAATACAAATAAATATAATAAAATAATATTTAATGTTTTATTACTAAATTACTTTATACCTATATACTTTTTTTATATTTAATTTTTATTATCATTTACAATTTAGTAATAAATTATTATTATTTGTATTNATAATGTGTTATATTTTATTAGACATAAATGTGTCATCTACACTGTGCGTAGGCTGGCTAGCATAACACAATAATAAATACAAATAAATATAATAAAATAATATTTAATGTTTTATTACTAAATTTCTTTATACCTATATACTTTTTTTATATTTAATTTTTATTATCATTTACAATTTAGTAATAATTTATTATTATTTGTTTTACCTATTGTTTTAGTGTATAATTTGGTTTTGGATCGTACTTAATCTTCACTAATAATACCTAAAAATGAATCCAGTTAAAAAAAGATNTAGCATAACACAATAATAAATACAAATAAATATAATAAAATAATATTTAATGTTTTATTACTAAATTACTTTATACCTATATACTTTTTTTATATTTAATTTTTATTATCATTTACAATTTAGTAATAAATTATTATTATTATTTGTATTACCTATTGCTTTAGTGTATAATTTGGTTTTGGATCGTACTCAATCTTCACTAATAATACCTAAAAATGAATCCAGTTAAAAAAAGATTTGAAAGTGGAGCGAGTAAGAGGAAACATAAAGCAGAGGAAGATCGTAAGATTAAATTATTACCATCAGTTTCAAAATTTTTTAAAAAGTATTTTTGTGTAATATATATTACCTATCTAAAATATTATCATTGCTTTTATTGATTGGTAGATTACCTTTAACTCAACCAAGGTAAAGCATCATTCTATTTGATAGCAGTATGAAGTTTTTATTTTAGTATAACGATATTATATTAATGAATAATGTCCAAAAACTCTTCTAGGACCACCCAACAGATTCTCCTATAATCAGTGGTGTTTTGGAGGGTATACGCGGATATACGACGTATACCCGTGAACCATCTTGGTCATTTAGCGTATACTTTATAAAAGTAACACCAATACGCACGTATACACTCGTATACCTACTTCATAAATAGAAAAAAAAAACATTATCAACAATGAAGAGAATTATAAACATGAAGAGTAAATCCATGGGGCATACGTATATTTTTAGAAAATTTATTATTGGTAGGTTAATATTACTTAATAATAACATTGATAATTGGTTATTATTTATAGCTATCGTTATCGTTCAGCTATATTCATTAGGTATCAAATTATAATATCCTCAAGCGGCCTTAGGACGTTTCTATACGAGAATATTCTATATAGTGTGGCGAGTGCTATTCCGAGTGCTGACTTCTTGCGGCATTGCTCGACTTCTATTATTATTTATTTTACATTTTGTTTCTTATAATTTTTTTTTTTTTCTGTGGCTGTGAAGTGAAGTGTTAAGTATAGAAATACAAATAAAAGAATCCGTTTAGAAAATGTTGAGGTAAGTAACTATAAAAACTAATAAGGTAATACATTTTAAATTGTCTTTATTTTATTAATTCGTTTACTTGTGCGCTATTTAGGTGGCATCTAAAGAAGTAGAAGCTCAATTATTGTCATCTATCGCATAAAAAGAGTATAATGTATATAGTTTATTTTTCTATTATTTGTTATTATTTTGTTTATAATATAACAACATAATGACATATTCATATAATTGTTTATTTAAAATTGTTCTATATTATTATTATATTTGTTTACTTCATATAAATGTTTTTCACATTTATTTAAAAATTATATTCTTTTTCGATTGTTATACATTTTTTTTTTTCCATTAAAACATATTTTGTATTTTTTTTTAAAATAGGTAGGTATACATTTTTATAGAAAAATGCATTTTAAATTTTGTTTTTTGCAATTTAAGTACCTATTGCTCTATAACAAAATGTAAAAACTCCTAGTACTATACAATGCTTAGGTAGTTCATATCGGTACATATAGTTGCATATTTGAGACTTAATAAAATTAAAATTACATTTTTAGTTATTTTTCTCATACTTAATGAGCAAAAAGTAATTTAAAAATAATTATTTGTTTTAATTTTAAAAATGCATGCAGTAAAGGGTTAAAACCGTTCGGTAGAATTTAAGTATAAGTAGTAATAATAAGTTAATAGAAAACATTTCACGTTTCAATTATTATTTATTTGAATCAAAGTATTACCTACTGTACTAACCTGATTTATATATTATACTACATATACAAATTAGAAACCACAATTTTAATATTTTGTTTTTCGTGATTAATAATTGTGGTAATTTATTAAAAGTTACAATCATCGTCAAATAATTTGAATTAATTTATTTTTAATAAATATATTAATTAATTTTTAATTAAAAATTATATCGGTGCCAAATATCTCTTATTCAAAATACTGGAAATTCTGAATGGTACCTGATCTAATTATATACTTAGATGGTTTTATTTGATATAGGTAAATGAAAATCTGTTTTCCGAGCGATCTTCTCCATCTATTCAATTAGACAATGTTGAGTCTTCTGAAGCTGACTGTCAGCATTCACTGTGGCCGTCTGAGTGGACATCAGTGCAATGGGCAGAAAAAAAGGAAAAATTTAAAGGACTTTACTGTGCTGATGAAAAAATTGGATGTGATATATGCAGAAAATTGGGAAAATTAAAAACTCCTTTAAAAGATTCAAATATCTTAAGAATGGGCAACATGTGAAATTGATGGAGGAACAAATACTAACAAGAAAACTCGCCTCACTGTTTTAAGAAATAAACTTAAAAAACATTTTGAATCCAGCGCACACAAATCTGTAGTTCAAATATTAGACAATAAAACAAGAATATGTTGTCCAAGCTTATAGAAGAAAAGGATTGCCAGATAAACAAAGCTACACATTCTATTTTCCGTACTGCTTATTATATAGCAAAATATAACCGTCCATTTGATGATCATTTAAAACTAGTGCAGTTAAAGGAACTCAATGGTATAATATTAGGGTTTACCCTCCATTCTAGACACTCATCTACCAATATTCTTTAACATATTTCTAAAGAAATGAAACACAAAATTATTAAACATATTATTGACACAAATGCAAAATGTTCCATACTAATTGACGAATCAACTACACTCAGTGATTTACGTAGCATTGTTGTTTATTTAAAAGTATCAATATCGAATAATTAACCTCTCTTTATTTTTTTAGATTTGGTTGAATTAAAAAATCAAACCGCAGAAAATATTGTAAGTCAATTAATTAACTGCTTACATACATCATTACTTGATGAAAACTATTTACAACAACATTGGGTGTCCTTTGTAAGCGACGGAGCAAGCATTTTGTTGGGTAAAAAAAATGGTGTTGCTAAAAAACTCACGGATAAGTACCCACTTATCTTTAGTTGGCACTGTATGAATCATCGTTCTGAATTAGCAGTTAATGATTAACTCAAAGATGTAAACGTGTTCTATACAATGCATTCCCTAAAAATCAAACGG